GCCAACTTGGGCCAGTGAAGCAACATCCTCCACAACTAGACTGAAGAACAAAAGGACAGCAACTTGTCTGTTCCTCTTCCCCCAATTCCCCAGCAACGTTCCCATCCCCCGATTCTCCAATAAAAATCTTAAAAAAAAAAAAAAGTTTCTAGATCCACCCCCCTGCTCTCCCCATAAAGTAAACACTTTAAATTTTTTTTCATTTGAGACTGATTAAACAATTTCTATCTTACCTTCTGGAGAAAATATAGTGGTCCTGGAGTCATATCTTCGAGACTGCAAAGGAAAAACATACAAGTGATTCCTATCCACTGAAAGTAACTCGTGCAAGCCCACAAATCACCTCATAAAACATCGTAGTACACAAAGTTCAGTGCGGGGTAGGAAACTGATAAGGAGGAAGCCACCATTCCATCCTTTTCCTTCCGTTCCAATTTTCTCATGCAAGTCTGTAAGCTGAATACAAGCTATACACTGTATCAGGCAATACCTTATTGGCATGTGTATTAACTCACCATGTTTCCTGAACTTTTAGAGTTCCTGCAAAAAGAAAATAGGATCCTTATTAAAATGAAATTTAAAACTTAAAAAGCATTTCCTGACTTAAGAAAAAAATGTTTTCCTCACTCTGTTCATTCAGGTAATGTTCCGTGCACCTGCTAAATGCAGCAGGCACTATATGCTAGAGGCTGGATACCTGGGTGGCTAAGACCAACCTGTGTCCTTAAGAGCTCACCGTGTGGTGAGCATGTGAGGGAAGCAGACACAGACAATGACAAAGCCACTTGGAAATGGAGGCACCCAGTGGAATGGGAAGAGAGATGGAGAAAATCAAGAAACTATTTTTCAGCCGGCCGAGTGGCTCAGTTGGTTAAGAGCTCGCTCAAGAGTACGAGCTCTGAGCAACAGCGGTTCGAGTCCCAGCCCGAGCTGAGCTGCCAACAGATGGCAGGATGGCTCAGCTTAAAAAAAAGAAACTATTTTTTGAGAAACCAACACAGAAAACAGCCCAAATCAGAGACTAGAGGCAGAAAGATGGTTGAGGCCCTTCAGGTCTAAGAAGAACGAACGGGGAAGGAGAAGAGGGGATTCCGGGCCGAGGAGGAAGCTTAAGCCAAGGACACTGAGGCAGGACAGCTCAACGGGCAAGAAGATGCAAAAGATGCAGAGCTAAGAGAGCGCCCAGATCACGTCGGGCACAGAACGACACGTTCGGAAGAGGTTACGGCTCATCGGCGAATGATGGGGTCCTGAGCTAAGAGGAAGGGGCGGGGCGGCATCTCCGGCCTCATCACGACCATTCCCGGGGACGCAGGCTCCAGAGCCCATTTCCCAAATACTGGGAATGCCAGGAATTAAACCTAAGTGGGCCAGCGTGACCTGATAAAACCCGTGCGCTTTCCGTCTTAATTAAGCAAAAGGGCGCCCCTGGCTGACTGTGGGCTGGGGAGCCTCAGCGCCCTGACTGGCATTTGGGAACGATCCCTCCGGCTGGCACTGACTGGAGGCGGTGACCCGTGACGAGGCCGCGACGGCGGGTGAGAGGGCGCGGGTGGAGGCGGCCCTCCGAGCTTTCTCCGCCGCTCGCCCAACGCCGCGGCTCGCCCGCCCCCCCAGCAGCTCTCGTTTTCGTTTGCGGGGTCTCCCCAGCAAGGAAGGCGCGCCCCTCAGTGCCGCCCACCGGCCCCGCGCCCAGCTCCTCGTGCCGGCTCCGCGCGGGGCCCTACGGCGGCCCGTAGGGACCAGCCGGTCACCAGGAGCGGCGCACAGTCATCGCGCGGCGGCAGGCCGGGACCCGCTCTGCCTTGGCGCCCACAACTGTCGCCGCGGGGACGGCGGCCAAGCTCGTGCGGTGCCGGGAGGGCACGGACTCACCGGAGGAAACTCTGAAGTCGAGGTACACAGGAACCGTGTCACTTCTCGGGAGAAATCCACCGCCGGCGTCCGAAGGACCGCTGCCAATATGGCCCCCGCGCGTGCGCAGAGCTACCAGGAGGGCGGGGCAGAGAGCGCGGAAATACCCGGGGGCGGGGCCTGGGACGCGGAAGTGTTCCCGGGGGCGGGGGCGGGGCCGCTGCCTCGTGGGAGGGGAGAAACGGTGGGCAGCCGCTCGGGGCGGTTCACAACCCGAGGAAGGGGCGCCATAAGTCGCGGGGAGGGCAGGAAGACCCCAGCCAAGGAGAGAATGGGGTTACACCAATCCCCGTGTTCTGCCTTCGCGCTGGTTTTACTTTCCCTTCCGACTGTTGAGTCCTGCACCTGGGAGAGCACCAGTGTGGACCCCGGTTCATTGCTTCCGGCTCCTGCCTTGTTCTCAGAATGGTCCCCAGCACATCATACTCACACCGTCGGGAGAACTTTCACCTTAGTCTCCTCCTCTGCCTTTCCCCTCGTTAGGAAGGGTTCCTTTAGTTAAAGAAGACGAGCCATCACCACACACACAGCATGTCTCTTCTTTACTGAAACTCATATTTTTAATGTGTTCATTATCCATCGTCTCCTTCCCGCCCTTTTTCTCGTCCAGCTTCGGTCCCTATGTAAACTATCTATTATTCATTTTTTAAGATTCTTTGGGCTAGAAAGTTGACTAGGTCTGATTCAAAATATTCTGTGTGTTTATACACAAGGCAAGAAAGACCCACAAAAAGGCATGATTACACGACTCATGTAGTATTTCTTTTTTTTTTTTAAGATTTTTATTGGGGAATTGGGGGATGGGAACAGTGCTGGGGAATTGGGGGAAGGGAAACAGACAAGTTGCTGTCGTTCAGCATCTTAGCTGTGGAGGGCAGTGTCACTGGCCCTCATATGTGGGATCTGAACCGGGGCCCTCTGGCATCCCAAGCCAGTTCATAACCATTGCGCCACTCACCGGCCCTGTAGTATTTCTTACTGTAAGAAAATCGTCATGAGATTGAAGGCCTGAGTGGCTTGTCATGCATTGATCTGTTCCATCAATTCATTTTTAACTGTGCAGGGAAATCCCTCATAGAATTAGATTTGGTCCTATTGAGTTTTTAATTACCCAAGTTAATAGAAACTATTATCCAGTCACATGGAGATCCCAGATTCGTAGGACCTGGCCGTGCCAAACCAGATTACTTCTACAGCGCCCTGGCCCATGTCAAGCATTTGCTGTAGGTGTTTCCACCCTGTTTTTGCAGTAATCATGAGATATTCTTCGTTCTCTGGGTGCAGCTGGCAAGAATATGCAGCCATGACGAGTGACTGACAAAAACGACTGCACACAAGTGGAAACAACGCACCTCTCTCTACAGGTGTCAGTGGGATTACACTTTCAAATCCTGCAAGGACATGACCACCTACTTGTATAGGACTCTTGCTTTCAATCATCATGTACATGATGGTGATTGCCACTTCAAATACATAGTAGCCATAGCTCATGTCATCAAAGTCTAAAATCCCAGACACTTGATAAATAGCATCTCCACAGGCTGACTTGCTGGACTCTATTAAAATGTTATGGTCATTGAAATCTCCATGATTGATACCTGAAAGGAGAAAAATCAAGGCATGTAAAAACAGTTATTTAATACTCATATTCATTCTCTTTCCATTTCTCTTTCTGAGGCATGGCCATTCAACCAGTCAGAGATAAAACAGCTAAACCCTATTTTCCTTGAAATAAAATTCTTTCCTCTGAAAAGGGCAAAAGCAGTTCATTTTGGTAGTGTGTTCGCTTTTGCTTCTCATCAATACAAGGCCATAAGATGGAGACTGTAGTTACTGCAAAACACCTGATTTTGACTCTCAGAAGAGCAAAGGGAAAAGGAGAACTGCCCCAAAGCAGAAATGTTAAAAATATGCATATATTCATATTATTATAAGAAGCAAAGGGTCCTAGAATGGACCAGATGTGTCTTTATTTTAACCTAGGATTTGCAAAAAAGAAAAATTCTGATGACAAAGTAATTCTGAATTCCCCGTCTTCTGATTACTGGAGTAAAGGGTGATATTTTAGGTCAGTACCACCCAAACTGGAGGGGGGTGGGCCTGTGGTCAGTGTTGGCCCATAAACTGTTACTAGTCCATGTGAGATAAAAACAGAAACTGAGAGTGTTTAGAAAGCTTTATAGCAATTTGTCATCTAAGAGTGTGATCTCACAGAGTATGGACCAGCTTGGGTGTGGTCAGACTCACAAAGAAAGTCAGTGCCGTACAAGCTGTGTGCTAATCATGGAGTGGTAGGACCATACAGCAGGCCGCAGTGAGTTGGAGGAAAACCCCAAAGTTGGGTAGTCTGAGGAGCTCTGATCTGAACCACTGATTCAGGATGGGGAGGAGATGGGCTGTCCATGAGCCCAGAAGCACTGCGTCATGAACTTACACTAACTGTGTAGTACGTGATAGCAACTTCTAAATACAATGCTGATTTCGTCTATGTGGCTTGGGGCTGGTGAGCCATGCTGAAGAAAAAGAGCACAGTGGGTGGCATACAGAAACAATGACCATTACCGTAAGCCACAGACTCTAAACTACACGTTTCGGAAATTGGGGTGCGTTGTACAAGTGATGCCGTGCCTTTGTTTCACTGGCAATGTTTTCTCTCCCTTGAAGGTTAACAGAGTAATGGCGTATCTTGTACAATCAAATGGGGTTTTAGAATTAATGAAAATGGCACTTTGTGAATGCAATCTGTATCCATGGGAACCTCTCATTTCATTGCTTCTACTCACATATCCAATGGCCTATCAAGAAGCGGGACAGCTATTTAATGCCTGGAATGACAATAGTTGGTGAATTTGAGAATTAAAGAAAGAAAAGGAGTTCTGATGAAGATGGCAGAGTGAATTCATTCTTTGATAACTCCCCGCCCCCGTGCTCTATATACATAGCAATGATAAAAAGAAAAACAAAACAGTAAAGATACAGCCAGCCTCAAAAAGAAGATAGATCTATATCCTAAAAAAGAATAGGAATGCCCAAGCAGTGAGAAGGAATAGGCCACAGTCCTGTCTCCTGTGTCCAGATCAGCATGTTTTTTACCCCTTTGGGACAATAGGAACTGAAAGTGAAACCTGCCAGGTAGGGGATAAAGCTCACTCTGTGAAGCCAGAAGCAGGGAAAAGGCCCTCCCAGCTCATAAAAGGGTGACAAAAATCTGCCACCAATCCTCTGCTTAGAACACTGTGGGTCCAGGGAGACAGAAGGACAAAAGCAGAGCCTCAGAACTGAATGCCAAGCCAGGCTACTGTGTCTAATCATTCTAGTGACTGATGTTTCTGAGACAGTTTCCGTGGGTTCTTGCTCACAGTCCCTCAATTCCCTGTGTGCAGATAGGTAGTATGTTCTCTACTCACAAGGCAATTACTCTACAAATATAATTAAGAAGAACTTCTAAAACTGAAAAGTACAACGAATGAAGTTAAGAACAATGGATGGGTTTAACAGACTAGATATAGCTTAAAGAGAGAATAGACAAAGTAGAGGAAAGGTTAGAAAATTATCCAAAATGCAGCATGAACAGAGAAAAAGATTAACCAACACACACACACACACACACACACACACGAGAAGATAAGAGACACAGAGGACTGAGAAGGCCTAACACTAGCTTAACTGGAGTCCTAAAAAGAAGAGAGAAAGAATGGGGCAGAGGCAAAAATGTTCCATAACTGATGAAAGACAAAATCTACACACAGATTTAAGAAACCCAAATAGATTAAGAGAAAAATAATTTAAGAAAAAGAGAACATCTTAAAAGCATCGCAAAGAGGAAAACAACAGACTGTCTTCAAAGGAGTGACAGACTGTCTTCAAAGGAGTGACAGACTGACAGCTGACCTCTGAGCAAGAATAGAAGCTAGAAGACAGTGGAATTCTAAAATTCTAAAACCCTGAAATCTAAAATCCTACAGGGTGTGAAAATATCCTTCAAGAATGAAGATAAAATAAAAACATTTTCAGACAATTAAAATCAGAGAGAGTTCACCATTAGAAACCGCATTAAAGGAAACGCTAAAGGATATATTTCAGGCAGGCAAAAAATGACTCCAGACAGCAGGTTTGAGGTGCTGGAAGGCATGAAACCAATATATGAGTATATCTAAACAAACTTGACTATAAAACAAAATTAATAATGTTTTTTGAGGTGTAAAAATATACAATTAAAGTTTACTAAAACAATAGCACATAAGTCAGGAAAGAAATAAGGGTAAAGTATTTTAAGGTTCTTGTATTGTTTTGAATAATATTAGACCTTGGTAAGTTCCAATCGCACAGTAGAATTTCTAGGGTAAGCACTCAAAGAATACAAAGAGAGTATATGTTTTCCAAATTCTTGGAGAGGAAAAGAAAATAGAATGACAAAAACAATTAGCTCAAAAGAAGAGGGGAAGAGAAGAAAAATGCAACAGATAGAAAAAAATCAGGAGTAAAAAATGAGATGGTATAGCTATGTAATGTCAGATGGAGTGGATATTAAGGCAAAAAACATTAGAAGAGATCAAGAGGGATACTTTATATTGATAAAAGTTTCAATTTGCTAGTAAGATAACAATTCTTTTATATGCACATTGCCTCAAAGTATATAAAGCAAAATTTGACAGAAATACAAGTAAAAAATAGACAATCCACAAACAGTGGGAGATTTAAAATATGCTTTTCCCAGTAATTGTTAGAACCAGCAGGCAAAAAAATAAGTTAACAGTACAGATAATTTGAACGACATGATAACAACTTGACCTATTGACAAAGTTATATATACTGGGGTGCCAAAAATATGTATACAAGTGGACACTTTGGTCAACGTTGCTTAAGCAGTAGTTTGCCATAATTAGAAGTGCCTGGATGCTGTAGATATAGAATATTTCCATCATTGAAGAAAATTCTACTGGACAGCACTGTAACGTATGTTTTCTGCCCATAATGCAATTACAGTAGAAATCAACAATAAAAGGATAACTAAACAGTTCATCATATATATTTTTTATAGATCTATACAAATGGAGAGATAGACCAATGTTCATGGATTAGATTACTCAATCTAATCTAAGTATAAAATAATATAAGCAAATATAAATATACTACAGTATCCATGTTCTCCACATTTACATACAGATTCAATGTACATCTAACCAAAATCTCAACAAAAGTTTTTAAAAAAATGACATGTTGACTCCAAAACTGATAAGGAAACATAAAGGACCAGAAATAGTCAAGACCCTGTTATAGAAGAACAAGAGATGGGAGGGTATGTACCAGACATGGAGACTTAAAAAGTTCAGAAATGAAGAAAGCGTGGTACTTACAGATATCCCAATTACCTTCCTTCTGGGAGCATGCTGGGGTGCACTTTCCTGCTCTCCCAAAGGGTGTGTGTGGCCATGTGACTTTTCTGGCCATTGAGGTATGAACAGAGGTGACATCACTTGATGGCAGAAGCCAGTGTACCATTCACTACATCCTCTCCCCCGTATCACAGCAGTTCTCCAGCTGATGAAAGTTCCATCCGTCTAAATTCCCAAGTGAGAATACACTGAATAGAGCCCTGGCCAATCCATGACAGCCATGCAGCTTGAGTTAGAATTAAACCTCTGTTACCTATTTGGGGTGATGTGTTACTGCAGCATAGCCTAGCCTAGCTGGTACAAAGCGTGGTATGGGTAAAGAGACAGACAAAGAGACCAACAGAATAAAATCGAACCCAAAAACATGTTTGATTTACAACAGAGGTGGTGCTGCAAAACAAGGAGAAAACATGGCTTTTTAATAAATGTTGGTGTGAAAGTTGATCAGCCACACTTAAAAATAAATTCCAGGTGGATTGCAGACCTATTACGAAAGGCAAAATCTATAAAACTTTAGTAAGCTAATATAGAAGAATATCTTCATGACCGCAAGGTATGGAAAAATTTCCCCACAAGGCACAAAGCACTAACCATGAAGCAAAAGATGGATATATTCAAAACCAATAAATTAAGGTTTGTTCATCAAAACACGTCATAGGGCCGGCCAAGTGGCGCAATGGTTAAGAACTGGCTTGGGACGCCAGAGGGCCCCGGTTCGGATCCCACATATGAGGGCCAGTGACACTGCCCTCCACAGCTAAGATGCTGAACAACGGCTCAACCTGGAGCTGGGCTGCCGTGAGTCGCCAGCGATGGTGTAGGCTGCAGCCCCTATGGCGGTGGGTTGCCATGGGCTACTGTGCATAGCCAGCAGCCAGCGTGAGCGGCCAGCAGCCGCAGTGAGCGGCCATCCAGAGGCCGGCGACTGATCTGCCTCGCCCGGGAGGAGCGCAATGATGGTGCCAACTTGGGCCAGTGAAGCAACATCCTCCACAACTAGACTGAAGAACAAAACAACAGCAACTTGTCTGTTCTCCTTCCCCCAATTCCCCAGCGCTGTTCCCATCCCCTCAATTCCCCAATAAAAATCTTTAAAACAAAAAACAAACAAACAAAAAAAACACGTCATAGAGAGAGTAAAAAGACAAGCCAGAGAATGGGACAGAATACTTGTAACACATATAACCAAGGGAGCACTTGTATCCAGAAAATACTTTGAACTTGGAAAATCAATGAGAAACAAATCCCAAGAGAAAACCCACCAAACACTTGAATGGACACTATACATGCTCATAAGAATTTATTCAAATGGCCAAATAGGGCCATGAATATTTTTTTTTTTTAAGATTTTTATTGGGGAATTGGGGGGATGGGAACAGTGCTGGGGAATTGGGGGAAGGGGAACAGACAAGTTGCTGTCATTTTTGTTCTTCAATCTAGTTGTGGAGGACGTTGCTTCACTGGCCCAAGTTGGCACCATCATTGCGCTCTTCCTGGGCGAGGCAGATCAGTCGCTGGCTTCTGGACGGCCGCTCACTGCGGCTGCTGGCCGCTCACGCTGGCTGCTAGCTACACACGGTAGCCCATGGCAACCCACTGCCACAGGGACTGCAGCCCACGCCGTCGCCGGCGACTCACAGCAGCCCAGCTCCAGGTTGAGCCGTTGTTCAGCATCTTAGCTGTAGAGGGCAGTGTCACTGGCCCTCACATGTGGGATCCGAACCGGGGCCCTCTGGCATCCCAAGCGAGTTCTTAACCATCGCGCCACTCGGCCGGCCCGGGCCATGAATATTAAAGCCACAATGAGGAATCACTACACACATATCATAGTCAGAGTGGCAGAAGTTTTATAGTCTGATAATACCAAGGGTACAGGGCAATGACAACTTCTCCACTCTGCAGAAGCAGTAAACTCATCCACCGCTTTGGGGAGCCGACATTATCTAGTGAGGCTGAATACGGACACGGCCTCTGACCCAGCATCCTGCCCAGAGCTCATGAGCGCGCACACCGAGAGGTATAGGAGTAGTCACAGCAGCGCTGTTCTTAACAGACCCAAAGTGGGAACAACGCAATACCTTTTAGGGGAAGAGCTAAAGTGTATTTATGACCGGAATACTCTACAGTAATGTAAGTTAATACGCTATAGTCACATGCAACAACTGGGAGAACCTTACAAAAGTAATATTAAGTGGGGGGAACTTGGAAGGCAGGTGGATTATTCTGTAGGGAGACAAATGAAAGCAGGGCACCTTTTGAAGTTAGAACCGATAGAATTTGGATGTGAGATGTGAGAGAAAGAAGAAAGTCAAGGCTCATGACTTCTGGGTTTTTGGCCAGATCCACAAGGTGAGTGGTGAATATCATTTTAATGAGACAAAGATGACTGGGGGAGGGCAAGACAGGTTTGAGGGAAAGACCCGCTCTATTTTCATGCTACCACCTTACATTGTGTCGACACCAAGGAAGTGCTGGGACTGCATTGTGGCTCCCCTCCCCAGTCCCTAAGTTGAAGCCCTACCCCCCAATGTGATGGTATTTGGATGAGGTCACGGGGGTGGGGCCCTCACGATGGGATTAGTGTCCTTTTGAGAGGAGACACAAGAGAGCTTCTCTCTCTGCCACATGAGGACACAGAGGGAACGCAGAGGTAGCTAGCTGTCTGTAAGCCAGGAAGAGGCCTCTCACCAGACCCCCAACCATGACCAGACTCTAGACTGTGGAAATAAATGTCTGTGTTGAAGTCACCCAGTCTAGGGTATTTTGTTATGGCCGCCCGAGCTGACTAAGACAGAAAGCAAAGGGCAAGAGGGATGCCTCAGTTCCTGGCCCTTTGACCAATACTTCCTGCTGGGTCAAAAGGCTGAGGTGCCCATGCACGTAAGGAGATACGCACTAGAGTACTCAAAGGAGCACCATTTACATAGCAAAAAAAAAAAAAAAAGGGGGGAACCAACTGAAAATTCCATTAACAATAGAACAGGCCAAAAAATTTACAGTAGAGTCAAATAAAGTATAGTAAGTACTTTTACCATACTATTCAGCAGTTAAAGGTAATGAACTCAATGAACTAGAACTACATGTATTTAATGGATCAATCTAAAACACATAATGTTGAATAAAAACAGGTTGCAGAATGATAACATAAAACGTAATGCCACTTTAATCTAAAGTTGGAAATATGCAGAATACTACTATATATAATTTATGAATACATATGTACTAAGGATATTAAAACATGTATGTAAATTTAGTAGGGAGGGGAGAGGTGGAATCGTAAAGTTTAGAGAGGGCTTCAAATGTAGCAATTTTAAGAAAAATAGAAGTGTTATTCTTTAAAAAGTAACAGGGGCAAATAGGCCAAAATCATAAGATTTGAAAAAGCTAAGTTGTACCTCCTCACTTTTCCTGATGGTATGCAGCTCGACAATTTAAATATGAAGAAAAGGACTCATCTGAGTGAGTGGTGGATACTCACATTCCCGGAAATGATGTAACTTGGTCATGACTTCATCCTTGAACAGCTGAATGACCTGTTCGATCATCTCACGATTTCGATTCTGGCCGAGGGCATACAGGTATTTCTCCAGAAGAGGAACATTTTTCAGGTTCCAGATGAAGTTCTCACGATGAAGACTACTTAACTTTGGGTGCTGGAATTTCTAAAATCAAAAGAAAGAAGCTCTTAGGCTCTTGGCAGTCAGAGCAACGGGGACTGAGAGATCTCCCATGCTAGAAGGCAGCACCCCCACACTGCAGGTCTGGGGGGCCTGGGGAGACCACTGCACACTGACACGCCCGTTCACATTCACCCACACAGTAACGGCTTCAATCTGCACAGGCCCTCGTGGTTTTGAGAGCACGTGCCCATGTCACTTGACCCTGTTCACTGTGTGAAGACAGGTGTCCTTATCCACAGCTGGACAAAGGGCCCGGAGGCAGCTGCGCTCCTCTCCCACACATGGCTGCCCGCCCTTTGCCTGGGCGTCCATATTTCCTTCTGCTCACGCCAGCCTCCCTGTTGTTCAGGGAGTGTCCATGCACGTCCCCACCTCTAGCCATGGCATGTGCTGTGTCTTCCTCCTGGGATGCTCTTTCCCAGATATCCATAGTGCCCTCACTCGTCACCTTCTGCGAGAGGGCTCCCTGGCCACCCCGTCTGCATTCTGACCCCTCTGCCCCATGTTTGTACGCATTGTTGGCTTATTTTTCTTCCTAAGCACCTAGCACCTATGGCAGTCTAAGACGCACCACAATCCACTAACTTGCCTTACTCTCTGTCCTCACTGGGAGGTGAGCCACAAGAGAGGCAGGAGCTGTTTTCGGTCTGTTTTGTCCTCTGCTGTGTCCCCACACATGGAACAGCTTCTGGCACACAGAAGACACTGCTCAAGCAGTATTTGCTGAATGACTGTTCTTAGAATAGAAAATTCTAGAATGGGAAGGGCCTTTCGGCTTTGACCACTCTATCTAAAGTTCTAAATGGCTTTGCCACCATTGCACAAATGGGGAAACTGAAGCTCAGAGAAGGATAAAAAGTTGCTGCTATGGGGCTGCGGGAAGGCTCAGGGCTGGTGACCACAGTACAGACCTCTCCCCCTAAGTGAGTGCTACCGGGAACCCCGTGGAGTAGCTTTCAAATTTGGGGATGTGACCTCTCATGTAGGAAATATTTTATATCACAACCCAATATAAAGGCAACACACACATAGAAAGAAAAAAAAAGTCTTAGAAAACAATATATAGACCATTACATTACATGTGATATAGTCTCATGTTTTTTAATTTATTCTGTTTCTCTAAAATTGGTTGTAACACCCATGCTCATATCCTGGGGTTTGAAAACCCTCCTTTGACTTCTGCTGTCACTGCCTGTCCTTGCTGAGTCAGTGGCCACGGAGCCTGTGTCTGAACCCTTCTCGCAGGAGGCACTTTTGACCCTTACGAGAAGGCTCCGTGTTCTTCCTTTTGCTGAGCTAAACTTTACCTGTCCAGTAGTATCCATGCCACTGGTTCCAATTGTGTGACCTCTGGGCCCGTCGGGAGCAGGATCAGTCCCTCTCCCATGGCTGTCCTCCAGATACTTGAAGTCAGCATGCCTGTCCTCAGTCTCCTCTTGTGCAGACTAAACCTTTCTAGCTCCTTTGATTAGTCCACACATGACATAGTTTTGAATCGCCTGACCATCTGGTCTGTTCAATTCCCCTGAGGATCACGAAAGTCCTCTGCAGAGCAAGCCCTGAAACAGTGTTAGGAGCAGGATCGGAACGAACATGGGGATTCTCATTTTTAAAGTGCTCCCGGCCCTGTCCCATCTCCACTTAACTCCTCTCAAGGCTCCACCTTCCTCTGTTCTCTAAAGCACCAGCCAGAGAGAACAGGAACCACGGACAGAAGCAGGCAGTGGAACCAGGCAGGCTGATCCCAGCAGCCACCACGGAGCACAATGTGACGTGAGTCAAGGCTGATGTGCTGCCTGTGTGCAAGAAGCCTTAGCTTCCTCAGAGACCCCATCTCTGCTCAGTCCCCCTTCCTACCCCTCCAGTCCTCTGCTCCAGGATCTAGAGGCTACCACGTGATGGAAGCCAGGGGCAACCAGGCCTAGCTAAGAATGGACTGTGTCCCAGCAGAAACAGGGTAGAGGCCATGCTGCGCTTAGCCTTCTCTCCCCACAGGCTTACCATTAAGTTGGTCACCATGTTTGGCTGCCTCTGTCTCCTAAACAGATCTTGAATCTTTTCTCGCTCAAGCCCTCAGTGGCTTTTACCCGGTTACTGCTTTAATTTCTGAGATGCATCCCATCTCTGTTCTGGCTATCTGTCCATATCTGCCAGAAGGACCCCCCAGACTGCTATACATTAGAAATCTCTGCCTCTCCAAGGCCCCCTACTGTCTATAAGACACAGTCCAAGCTCCTTAGTATTATACATGATGACATATTTTATCATCTGAGTGACTCCACCCTACGTTTCCAACTTTATCCCCCCCCCGCCTCTCCCAGGCTCCACCCCTATTTTCCTGCCACACTGAATCACTGAGAGGCTCTGAGCGTGGTCAGTGTACCTCCATGATTTCCGCATGCTCTTCCCTTTAGCTGGAATGCCCTTCCTCGTCTTCTCGGGCTGTCTGATGGATTCCTCGCTTTTAATAACCAGCTCAGAGCTTTTCTTTTTATGAAGCCCTCTGTGAATACATACCATGTGTCTGACACTGCTAGACACAAGGATAAAGGTGGATAATGAAGACATAGATCAACTTCTTAAGCAGTTGCTTTTCTTGTAGCATATGTGACAGGAAACACAAACATGCCCCAAATAGCCACAACACCATGTGTGGTGGACTGCTACTTTGATGGCCCCCGGCGTTCATGCCTTGTGGAGCTTCTACCTCTGGGATTAGACATGTCACCTGCTTTGGCCAGTGGGACATTAGCTAGTATGATTCAAGCAGAGACTTGATAAGCATTTGTACACTGGGGCTTGTCCTCTTGGAGTTCTCACAGAAGCCGTGTTGTAAGGACGTCAGGCCACCCTGGAGGATGAAACACCACGTGAAGAGAAAAGGCCCCATGATGTCCCTCAGCTGAGCACCCAGCTGAATAGAGCCACACGAGTGACCCCACGCAACACCAAGCAGAGCAGAAGAGCCACTCGGTCAGCCCACAGAATCACGGGAACTAAATCATTACTGTTTTGAGCCAGTGAGTTTGGGGATGGTTTGTTACACAGATAGATAACTGGAGTACAGCACAATACGGAGAGTGACAGAAGGATGTCCGAGTTCAGAAGCAGCACAGGGAAGGAAGCGACCGTCTATGTGAGACCTAAGAACAGAAAGGGCCAGGGAAGATTTCACACAGGAGGTGGCGCTCGAGATGTGTGCTGCAGGATCTGCAGGAGTTTGCAGGGCAGAGGGAAAGGTGACTGGTTTGAGAAAAAGACACAGGCAACGGCACAGAGGCATGAAATGCAATGGCACATTCAGGGAACCACATCACGTTCAACACCGGTGGAAAGGAAAGCATGGAAGGGGGACAGGGACAAGGAGACTGAGGCGGACAAGGCAGGAACGAGGCCACGCGGGGCCCTGCAGGAAAGAAACCCTGAGGACCTTGGCTTTTATTCTGAAGGCAGTGGAAGCCACTGACAGGCTCTAGCTATGGAAGTGACATGGCCAGAGCTGTAACTGTACAGAGTAACTCTGGGCTGGTGTAAAGAATACACTGGAAGAGAGAAACCCTAAATGCAGGGAGGCTACAGGGGTCAGCGAGGATAGCTGAGGCAGGAATGGAGAGGAAGAGAGGGATTAAAGAGACATGTGAGAGGTTGAATGGACAGGATTCCATGAGAGACTGGAAGTGCAGCATAAAGAGTATCATGAATTAATAAAAAGGTAAGCAATCTTGCCAATATACCGGTAGAGTACAGACCTGGGCAGAAGGAAGACTTACTGTCATAAAATTCAAGTATCTAGGACCCTGTTTCCTTTGTAGCACTTTTGGAGGCACCATGCATAAAAACAGAGTCTGACCCTATCACGTAAGAATAAAAAATAAAAAATTCTTATAAACAAAATAACCCCAGATCTTACCTCCAGTGTCTTATCCAACTTGGCAGCTAGCCTCCCAATTTCATATAAGAGCTGGGGGCTGATGGGAATCTCGGCTATGGGTCTCCCTGGGAGGTAAGTCAGCAGCCTCACCAAGTAGCTTCTGACTTCGGAGCCACTATCTAGATGGATGGAAGGATATATCCCGTCAAGTAGTCTCAACAAAAATGCCTAGAGGCGATTCTGCCTTTGTAATTATTATTGCAAAGAATAACAGACATTACAGAACAGGAGAAAACAAAGTGCTAACCTAATACCATCGGCAGGATTCTGTGAGGCAGGGCTGAATGGATCCAGCAAACAGGACACAGAAACCTACAATCAGCCATTTACATCCCAACAAAATCACTGCTCCAACTCTGCCGGCCTCGGCTCACAACATAAATTACCTGCTCCAAGAAATGAATGACTAAAACACTCTTCCGTAAGTTTACAATTGAGGAAAGTGTGATACAAAGAAATACCACAGAACCACAGGTTTCTGTGGTAGCAAAGTGGGGAACAGTCTGCGTCTGCCACAAGAGACAAGAACTACTCGTCAGGAATTGCAAAGGGCCTCAGTTATTTGGGGCAATGCAAATTAAGGAAGAACGGTGAACCATTAGGACAGAAACAAACAGTCAAAATTTCAAACCTTAAAAAATTCCTAGGAATTGGTTTCAGGCTGCTGCTTGGAGAACTCTCAGGTACAGCTTAGCATTTTAGCATTTAGGGGTGAAAGGGGCTGAGTCTCACAGATGAGGACTTGTAGCCTTAGGGATGGAAGTGGTGTGCCCAAGGTCACATATGCATACAGTAATGACAGCTGGGACCTACAATTCCCGATTTCTACTTCTGCATTTTTTTCCATTACACCACAGCACCAAAATATACAGCCGGTCTGATGAATACAAATATTTGGTTTTTTTGCCTTAAAAAAACAACAGCAAAAAAACGTTCCACTGATTTCCACACGTCCTCTTATTTACCCATCAGTCAGGTCCTTTCTAAGCAGAAGAGTTACCCCAGATCCCGGCTCTCACCACTTATGAATCTGAGCCCCAATCGCCGCTTTGGTGAGACTGTGACTTCTCCCAACTGCTGAAAAAAGAACCACGTCCTCATGTGGAATGACCTATTCTTGGTATTTCTACTTGTAGCCCGTATGCAGGCATGTACACGGACAGGCGACGGCTCTTACCTACGGACACGAGCGAGGTTACGTTATCCGCTTTAGTGCGGCACACAGAGGCCGTTGGAAACCCAGCCGCGCGCAGAAACAGGATGATGTGACTCTGCACTTCGATCAGGTCTGGGGTTTTGCTGGACTCGGTGTTGCTGACTTTGAGGACATACTCAGTTGGGCCATCTGTAGTGTCTTTGGCTCTTGAAATGCATATATGAAAGTTTTGGTCATCATAGCTAGGAAGTGGCTGGATCTTGGAAACTTTTAACCCAAATACTGATTCCACTAGTGCACAAGCTTGTGCCTCGCTGAAAGTGGGCTTGGCAAAGGCTTGTGACTGCTGACCATCTCCACTTGACATTATGTCTAGGGGAAACAAATGAGAAAGGGGACATATAATAAATACATTTATTGAAGCGATTTTTCTTGAGACAAGCCAATAATGTTTCTCAACATTAATTCTGTACTTCTTCTGATTGCTAATTTTCACTCATAAAGTTAAAAAAAATCAAATCAGTAAATGAGATAAAGAAGCAGATGTTTTGGCAGGGGAATAAAAATCTTTGTACCATAAATTATTTCTAAACTCACTTTGAAAACTGAAGATATGTTTCCAGGGACAGGACACAGAGCAGAAAAGCATCTTGGTGTCACTTAGTCCAATTCCTCCCCCACACCCCAATTTTATTTGCAGGGGAAATTTAGGTCTCAAGAGGTTAAGTGCCTTACCCAAAATTACATACCAAGTTACAGTAAGGACTCACCTCTCCACAATCCTAACCCAGGATTATGTGTCCTTTTGACTATATTACTTTGAGTTAAAATATAAATTCAAATACAGTGATCTTACTTTCCTATCTACAAGTTGTGTTAAATTACAAAAATCATCATTGAGCTTATCACACATACTTCAAATATAAAAGTGTGGACTGGTATGCAAAGCATCAGGTGAGGATTATGGGAGACATGCAGGTGAACTTAGAGGGCTCTGTGACATCTGAAGCGTTAACTCAGTCACAGATATCCTAAACAACAAAGAGCTTAAATCTCTTAAAAAAAAATTACAAGGCAGTAAGAAATAAACTGATAAAATACCAAAGAAAACCCTTAATTGTAAAGGATCCTGCTAAGCGGAATAAAGGCTTAAAATAAAAATTAAGGTCAGTTACAGAAAACTAAGTTACATCTGAGTTTGACCTATGAAATTAATAGCTACCAAAACTATGATAGAAATTTAGAGATGAGAGGAATTACCACAGCCTAAGGAAAAATGGATTTGAATTGGGTATGATTTGGATAGATAGGATGGGAGAGACTGTTTTTGTCCCCTTGGTAATGCTATCCTCTGCTACTTCAGGAACCAAATAGTTAAGGTCCTTTTAATCTCATTTTCCTCTTTTCCCAAAATAGCTTTTTCCCCAATCCTTCCTTCATACTAAATCATAAATACTTATTACCATCTTGGGGGTGGGCTGCATTTTAGGGTACAATTTTGATTGCTGTTCAAGGGATGTAGTGTTTTGTTTTGTTTTTTAAAGATTTTATTGGGGAATTGAAGGAGGGGAACAGCACTAGGGAATTGGGGAAGGTGAACAGACAAGTTGCTGTCCTTTTGTTCTTCAGTCTAGTTGTGGAGGACATCGCTTCACTGGCCCATGTTGGTATTATCATTGCGCTTTTCCCGGCTGAGGCAGATTGGTCGCAGGCCTCTGGACGGCCGCTCACGGAGGCTTTTGGCAGCTCATGCTGGCTGCCGGCTGCTCACACTGGCTGCTGGCCACTCACGGTAGCTTATGGCAGCTCACTGCAGCANGAACAGACAAGTTGCTGTCCTTTTGTTCTTCAGTCTAGTTGTGGAGGACATCGCTTCACTGGCCCATGTTGGTATTATCATTGCACTCTTCCTGGCTGAGGCAGTTGCTTGCCAGCCATTGGAGGGCAGCTCACGCCCACTGCCCCGGCCAGCCTCACTGCAGCCTGCGGCGTTGCCAGTGACTCAGGGCAGCCCAGCTCAAGGTCCAGCTGTTGTTCACCATCTTAGCTATAGAGGGCGCAGCGTCACTGGCCCTCATGTGGGATCCAAAGTGGGACCCTGCTGCTCAGAGCTGGCGTCCCAAGCTAACTCCTAATCAAAGAGCCACTCGGCTGGCCCCAGGGTGTAGAACAATTAGCTCTTGTTGATAGGAATCAAGACAGCTGTTGCTTCCAGCAGGGAAGTTTCTGACGTGAGGGAACTTTCTGGGAGGAAAATGTTCTGTACCTTGACGAGGCTGTTTACACAGCTGTATACGTTTGTCAAAACTTAGCTTAAAACTTAGATAACCATAAGATCTGTGACTCTCACTGAATGTAAATTTTACCAAAAAAAAAAAAAAAGCCCTGTGAGAAACTGGCTGGGACAAGGGGGTGTGGGGTGTGGTGGGGTCATAGGACTTTCTCAGAGCTCCCCAAACCAGACCATGTGCCTGTTAATGTTTCATCACTCCAGATCTATGAGAGCCAAAGCCCATCTTACTCCAGTGAGGGGAAAGAAATAAAATTCAGGGGGGTACACTAGGGCTCTCCTGTCTGACGCCGTCCCTGTCTCAGCCTGATGACTCGGGTGATATTAAGAGCATAAATTTCCAATGCCACCCCCTCCCGTTCCCGCCTTCCCTTATGCTCCTACCCAAAGCGATTTCTTCACCTCTAAGCTTGCATAGCCCCTGTGCCACTGGGCTGTTCCCACCACCTGTAATATAGTCACTGCATTCTTGCCAATCACTTCTCATGTTTACTTTCTGACCTCAGTATTTGCTTTCAGATGCAGATTAAGTCGTTCAGATTTTGTTCAATACAGATATTGTAACAAAGCCTAATGGGGTTTCAAAACAATCTTTGCACCTGAAACTTCTGGGAACCAATATATCCTGTCACACTATATTTGGGCTTAAGACTTTACATGGAATTTTAACATTCCTTCTGCAGATTTACAAACTGGCATAAGGCCAGTATTCAGAATGTAATGTGACCTAAAGCTTTAAATCCAAGATGAAGTCCTGGAGTAAGTTATCAACTCCTACAGTGTTAAGGAAAAACGAATTAAAAAAAATAATAATGTTAAAGCTATTAGAATAATGCTGAACTTGATATGAATTATAAGTCCTTAAAGTTGGAAGGAAACTTAGAAGCAATTGTGAAGACTAGTCTCCCTTCCAGTCTAGAAAATGTTCCTATAAAATCCTTGAATGGGGCTTGTTAAACTTCTGCTTGAAGGGTCCGGTTTTCTCAGTGTAAACCATGTTAGCTGCTCTGGCCATCAAAAAGACAGCCTGGTATAATAAATGTTGTGCTGGGTAACTGTATTTTACCATAATAATAATAAATAAATAAATCGAAGAAAAAAATTGCTATATTTGGGAGAAATAAAACATTTTAGTCCCAGCTCTACCTAGCCTCTGAAATGTTGGACTATTCAGATTTCCTCTTCAAGGGAGTTAGTTGGACTAGACCATCCCTAAAAGTCCATTCTAGCTCTAGCAGTCTATGCTTCTAAAGTTCTTTTTGAACATAAATTTGCCTTTTTTCTTTGTATACAAGGACCCTAAGTTACGGAACTAATGGCCCAGATCAAGTCAGTTCCTGAAAGTAAATAAATACAAAGAGAGGGATGTGTTTATTAGAGATGTCCGTCTCAACGAAATGTCTCTTGCGAGTGTTGGGGGGCGGGGGGCAACGAAGGGGACTGAAATCCGAGGTAGTGGCCTACAGTCCCTGCCTACACCGTGTCACTTAGCTCCTGAGAAAGCCCTCAGGA